CCCACCCAACTTTACCGCTCGTATGGAATCCACCAATACGGAACAGCAAGCTAGCTGTCCAAGCAGGATTTCCTAAGCAATCATTTACAATCCACCAGAATGACTACTAGACTGACTTAATTATTATGAGGATTGGCAGATTTGCTTAATCTGAGTTGACCCAATTGTGAAAAAACTCCTATTAATTTTGAAATGCGTCGTTTGTCGCCATGGAAAAGTCCGTATAAAAGTCCACTCTCAAAGGGAGGGTCTATTGAAAAGGAAAATTTACAAGAGGAGGGTGTGTGTCTGTGTGTCCGATGGCTGCCAAATATCCTCACGTTGCCTTCTTGCTGCTTTGGGCCTTGAGTAGCTGTAGATGAAGCAAACAAAAGAAAAATGCAAAGTCGCCTCATATAATCTGATAGGGAGAAAGCCTTGAAAAAAAGAAACTCACATTTTTCGCCTTGATAATTTCGCGTTTCTCATCGAAGCGCAGTTCATCTAGTTTCTAAAGGAAGCGCTGTCGTTAAGACAAGATGAACTTACACGCTCTGCATTGCGTCGAGCAATAGTTACTTCAGCAATTATCTTGGCAACTTGAGATTCATTAACGTCAAACCTTTGCAATTTCTTGCCTGAAAAAGATTACAAATTAACTTAGGCGAGCAGTGCAAATCAGAAAAGAAAGGATTTAAAAAAATCACCACACGCTATTCCGAAAATATACTGAATGAGAGGCCAATGTTGATGGGGAAGTGCTTGTAGATGGTTAGGGTGCATATTGTTTCCTTATTTTTCATGGTCATATAAACCTGATTGTTTTCCTTCAAATGATTTACAAGTCTATTGTTTTGTTGAAGACTATAACAACGTATGGACTATGACGGTTGAAAAAGTTTTCCACAGAAAAATACCCGTGGGTGTCTTCTTCCCCCCTTGCTCTACAGTGCTCACCTCCGGTGATTGATCAGCTAAACGGTGGGGAAGAGAGTGAGATCGATCCTCAGCGCATTTCTTTCCCCGCTAAAAACAATTGCAGGCGCTTGAAGCTATCACGGTACACTAAAAGCCGTGGCTTGGAGGATTGCCAAATGATAGGATAACTTGGACCCCACAGTCAGCCCAGTGTGTCTTGTTGGGTGAAGTGGATAACTGCAGACTTAGAGTCAGGCTCAATGGCTCTTTCCTAATGTTGCCTTTATGATGCTTCC